TCTGGGACTGTTCACATCGCAGCCGCTGAAGAGAAGGGGGAAATGAAAGGAAGGCTTCAAGTGCCAAGCTTCCATCCAGCCTCTAGGCATGCAGGTAAGTACCCAGCAGCAGCCCTGTCCAATCCAACAAAAATCTCCGCACCAGGGACTGCTGTCCTTGGCCTTAAATGTCAGTGTCTGGGTCCCCCTCCCACAGATTCTTCTGTACTGGTCTTAGGGACAGGACAGCCTGGGCAGCAGAACTCTACATCCCCCCAGGGGAGCTGCATGCACTTAAAGTTTGAGAACCACTACTCTACAGGTTTCCTGCATGACTTGCCTCCCACACAGCCTGTACTAAGAAGCTATGGAGCCTGTTATGGCTCATGTATCTTTGAGGGGGTCCTGCAAGAGGCCATCTGGTCTTCCAGCGACCCCCCTCACCCCCAAGCCTCCTGGCTTCATTGTGTAAACTGGCCTGATTTGACTGTGGGCAGCCCGCAGGAGGCTGACAGCAGATTCTCTGATCTGGGCACTCAAAGTCCTTTCCTCACAAATGAGTCACATCTCTTGGCTGACTTAACTTGACAGACAGTGACCCTCTGATAGCCTTAATTAGGAGAGTCCGGCCAACAAGACTGTAGCTAACAGTCTTGCTGAATAAAAAAGATTTGCAGAGATACTTAGTCTTCTCAGACCTGCGAATAAGGAAGCAGGTGGTGGACTCGTTGTTCTCGTCGATGGCTCTGTGCAGGAGTGTCTGAAGGCACCCGCTAGGTCCCGGGCCCCAGCATGTGGCATCACAGCCATGTCTGACCTGCAGAAAAACAAGTTACTCACAACACTGCTTGGAAAAGGCCAACATTTTCATTACCATCTTGGAGCTCTATGTGCATCATTAGATTCATTTTCAGGCAAGACACGGTTGTTAATGAACTGCTAATGATTTTTATCTGAATCATTCATCAGATTTACAAACAATTATTAAAACCTGCTCTGTGCAAGTGTGACAAGTCCTTGAAGTGATGTGTTTAGGAAATATGAGAGAGATATTTAATTAGTACCCTCTTGAGTTGTGTTCTAGAATAGAAAACACACACAAGGAATAGAATGTGAGCACGTGCAGATGCCCCAGTAACACCCACCTGTAATTAACAGGGGAAGTCAGTAACCACTGGGTAAAGCCCCCAGGTGCAAATACCTTATTGTCACATTTCAGGCTCTTCAAAAAGCTAATAACTTCCAGAGTTACCTCTGCTTTGGGGGCCTATCTTCTGAACAGGAGACAAGACTGAGATCTGGGAATGTGTCACTCTGGTGACAGCCAGGGTAGCCCACATCAAAATAACCCACCTCAGAGCAGATTCCTGAGGAAACCCTTGCTTCTTGGCAGTTTTCTTGATAAAAGCAGCCTAAAAAATGGGTCATCCGAGACCATGCTGAACTGCAAGTCTCTCTAGTGTGATTTCCTACTGCTCGTCCTTGGCTCAGTTTGTTACCTGGCAGATCTCTTGCTCTTTGTGGCCGCTGTGTAGGTACCAAATCCATCTCTGACACAAAATATCCCCATGTGTAAAAAGAGGCTAAAGTTGAGTCTGACTCACCAGAGTCGAAGCGATGTCCTCCAGATTATTTGCCAGCGCGAGCCACAACGGGGGGTTCCCCTTCTCGTCCGGCACGGACATGTCAGCTCCTCGGGTGCAGATGGCATCCACTACAAGCGGGAGCTGATTTTTGATGGCCAGCTGAAGGGCTGTCTCCCCATCCCGAGTCCTGCTAGGACATGCACACCACAACTAGCATTTGTAGTGAAAGCCAAACGACAAAGGGTGCCCTTCTGGCCATTCCAGAGGCCTGAATCCACTGTATCCCTTAAACTAATTCATTCACATTCATTAATATCCTTTCCGAGAAATATAACCTGTCAATAGCATCTGTCCCAGATCTTTGAAAACATACAGCCATGCCGTCCTATGTCACAGAAAAGTAATGATCCAACACTGCAGGGTGTTGAAATCTGAAGGGCGTGTAGCTACTTCTAACAGCATCTCAAAGCAGTGCAAGTTTAACGGCATGTGTTTCCCCCTCAAGCCTTTTGACAGCTCATATATTGGAATGTTCTTCGTGATAACTGAAATTCTTACTCAAGTGATTTGAGACTCCTTTTTAATGAGACAGTGCAAGTGGAGGGGGGGGGGAGAGCACAAGTGCACGGTCACGCCCAGTTTCTGCACCGAATTTACCTCAGAGCCCTCGTCCCTCCCCCTATCTGACAAGGACAATATGTCCCACAGGCAGGGCCATGCCCATGAACCACCTCGAGTCAGTGAGGCCCGCGCTGTCGCGGCTCAGCCCACCTGACATTTATGTCCGCCTGGTGCTCCAGGAGAAAGAGCGCGCTCTTGCTGTCCTGCCGCTGTATGGCCATGTGCAGCAGCGTCTGCCCGTCCGACATGGTGTCGTTGATGCCTGCCCCGGAGCCCAGCAGCTGGGCTGCAATCGTGTGCATGCCTGGGAAATAAGCAAGCCCCGGTTAATGCATTTCCCCACTTCTCCAGCATCTTACTGCAACAAACACACCCTCTCCACTTCTCAAAGCCGGCAGTTTTTAAACTGGGTATTACAGGCTTAACCCAAACGGGAAAGTTATTTTACAACCAAGCCCTCCCCACCTCCTTGCTTCTCTCCCTCTCTCCCTCACCCCCTCCTGACTGCTGCTGTCATAGCCTCTCGCACAGCCTTACCTGTCCATAATGCCAGGCCCAGCACAGTCTGGTCTCGGGAATCCTTGAGGCTGAAGTCCGGAATAATTTGCAAGTTGTTGGTGGCATGAAGAGCATTAGCTAAATTTTTTTAAAGGAAAAGAACACTTGATTTCACCATCCCATGGATCATATTTAAAGTATCCAAGAGAGTAAGAGATCAGTTTCAAACTGACTGGCTAAAATACGAACTGATAAATCTTCTTGTGGAGAGTGGAAGCCAAGAAATCTAACACATGGGGAAAGAAATTCTAAGCTTATGGGGAAAATGAAAATTTTTAAAGTTTAAAACATTGAATCTTCATAAAAGGAAACTAGACTCCACTGTGGAAACACACGTTAATTACCTGATTGTGGAAAAGAGGATCAAAACCATGCCTTGGCAATGTTTTCCTAAACGTAATTCCTACCATCTTACCATTCCTGTGAAGACCAAGAAAAGGTGCATTCTACCCAAAGCTCCACTGCCTCCACAGCAGTGCTAGAAAGGGTGAGCCTTCGCCAGGACACAGGTGAGAGTCCCCCTACGCCCGGGACAGGAGAGAACGCTGAGGCTGACTTTCTGAGGGGAACTGCGGGGGCTTCCGAGGTTCACTGCCAGGACGGCTGAGGCAGAGAGGATTGGTGGCTCGTAGAGGACCTGCCACAGCAGAGTTCTCCAAGACAGCTCATGCCAAAGCAAAGCCTTGCTTGACCTCCACGGAAATGCCTGGGCAAACACCCCACAATAAAGGACACAGTCAAAGGTCCTAACACCTTAACCTGGCGGGTGAAATGGGCAGGCCCCATCCTGAAAATGTACACTGCAGCCAGGAGCCAGACTATATGCTTTTCTAATTTATCTGAGAAACTCACCAGGAAAGAAGCATCACCTCGGTAGTGACCTCTCAGCACCACCATCCCCAGGTCACAGGGGCCGGCAGCAGTTCCTACCACCCACCTTTTTGTTCCAGGATGACAGACACCACATCTGGGTGATTATAGGCGATGGCCATGTGCAACGGCGTCTGCAGGTAGACACTGCCCACGGAGCTGGCCAGGGACGCAGCCTCCTTTGGCAGAGGCGGAGCTTCCTCGGTCTGCAGGTTTGGGTTGGCACCTTGCTGCAGGAGCTCTGCGGTGAGGTTGGCCAGGCCATGCCTACAGGCCGTGTGCAACGGGGTTTCTCCCTGAACAGAAACACATGATCCAAAGGAGAGCACTTTCAGGCTGGGAGTTCTACTCACAGCCTAAGTGCTGAAACTCAGGTCCCAGTGGCAGTTACAGCTCTTGGCTCATCCTGTCACCAGCTGGCCTCCACGACTTTTGTCCCACTCCTTCTGGTCACCGCTCTTCCCTTTCCCCTGTGCCATCATCCCTAGATTCATCAATGTCTTCCCAAGCACCCGTCCAACGTTCTGGCAAATCATCTTCTGCATTTCCAATGACCTTCTTAACCAGCCTTCACTTTGTTTTTATAATTACTTATAATTATAAAAATAATAGATGACTATTATTAAATAACAACAGAGGACTTCCAAGTGTCACTAAAATAAATGCTGCAGAAAATGGAAGAGCCTTCCCAGGCCGGTGTATCTCAGTGGTTGAGCACTGACCTATAAACCAGGAGGTCGGTTCGATTCCCAGTCAGGGCGCATGCCTGGGTTATGGGCTCCCGATCAATGATTCTCTCTCATCATTGATATTTCTGTCTCCCTCTCTCCCTCTCCCTTCCTCTCTGAAATCAATAAAAATTAAAAAAAATTCGAAAGCTACAAGAATATTTAGTGAAGTTTCCTCTCACTCCTTGCCCCCACTACCCAAGTATCCTCCCTTAAAGAAACCTTATTACTAGTTCCATGTTTCCCTCCAGTGACAGAAGATTCAAAGAAAGATATGTACACACATGTATATATGTGTATGTATGTACATATAGTTTACAACCTAATATACCATAAATGTTTAGGAAATGGTTGCTGAATGAATCAAGCAACCAACAATATTTGAGAATACAAGCACCTGTTTCACTCTTTTTTAATCCTGTGTACATATTACTTGGAGACAAATTGAAAAAAAGAATCCATTCCATTTTCCCCTTTAAACTGTCACTGTCATTTCTTCCACAGATCAAAACTGCTCCCCTTGCTGCCCTGCCACACTTACCCACTTGTTTCTGTGGTTGACCTGGGCACCACTGGTTGCCAGGAAAAGAGCTGCTGCCTCATTTCCTGCTTCAGCTGCCCGCTGCAGTAAGCAATTTCCTAGGAGAAAGTGGGCATATTCATTCTTCCATTTGCATAACAATGAGGTCCAGTTCCATAGCGCACCACACCCTGACTGCCCCACCACCTTTCACAAGTGACAAGCCAGCACCTAAAGAAGGTTCAACTTAAGTCCACATAGGCACTCTCAGGAACAGTCCAGAGACAGGATGAGCCCGGTATGCACTAGCCACCACCCAGAACCAGAGGTAAGTCAGGTCTCTTTCCTGGGGCTGGATTGGAATACACTTCTCAATAGCAGTGTTACTAACATTTTGGGCCAAATAACTCTTTGACGTGAGGCACCGCACAATGTTTAGCAATATTCCTGGCTTCTGCCCACTAGGTGACAGCAGCACCCCCAACCTTGCTGTGATAATCAAAAATGGTTACAGGTGATGCCCAATGTCCCTGGGTGGGAAGTTGGGGGTGGGGTGGGGAAGGTGTCCAAGTCTGAGAACCTCCGAGTTAGATGTCTATTTTGAAGACACTGCGACCTAAATGCTACCAGAAAATGCCCCTTAAGTACTTCACTTTTACTCTTGGGGCCTTAAATGTTTGTCCTTGGCTTAGAAATATTTTTTTTTTAGCATTATCACTCTTTTCTAAATAAAACAAAAAAATTTTTTTCTTCTTGTTTTCAAATGGTTTAGCTCAGTTTTAACCTCTAATACAATAAACATCAAAAATACAACAACCCACCAAAACAAAAGCTCTTGAAGAGGGTAAAAGGAGTTCTGAGTCCAAAAAGTCTGTAACTCACTGCTTAAATAAACAAAAGTATTTCAGCTTAATGGACACAACTCAAAGTCTGGCTAAATTTTTTTTTTTCCCCCAGAAAGGAAGGGAAAGGGAGAGAGAGATAGAAACATCAATGATGAGAGAGAACCACTGATCGGCTGCCTCCTGCACACCTGACACTGGGGATTGAATCCTCAACCTGGGCATGTGCTCTGACCAGGAATCGAACCGTGACCTCCTGGGTCATAGGCCAATGCTCAACCAGTGAGCCACGCCAGCCAGGCAAATTTTTTGAAGCACAATATTAAAATAAAATAACTTGGGCTTCCTCTATAGTTAAACTTAAGTATAAAATACTTAATAATATGTCATTCAGTTTCTAAATTTTTGGTAAATCGCTGACACAGTATTTCATGGAGTCTCCAGGCTTGAGCATCAGCTCTTAGGGATGCGTGCTTTACCTGTTTTAGAGTCAGGTGCGTTTGTGTTGCTGCCCCGCTGAATGAGTCTCGCTGCAAAGCTGTTTTCATCAAATGAAGTCCCATTGACCACAGGGAGGTCTTCGAAGGGGTTTACGGACTGATCGGATGACACAGTGATGTACTGCACTGCGAGCCACAGAGCTGTGCTGCCCTCGTGGTCTTTCAGTTCTAAGTCTAATCTGAAACAAGGAAGCAATGTGAGCAGCAAATGCTTTCTTCAGACACTGTCCTGACAACAGCCTCATTCTTTCCTTAATATTTGTTGAATGACTATTTTTTAAAATTTACTTTCAATTATTAAAATTTACAACACTAAAAGACATTTTAAAAATTATGTTTCACTCACAATCCCACCCTCACAACTGCTTTTTCATTTCTCCGTGTCTCCCTACGTACTGTTTACACTGCAGCAACTGATTGAACACGTATTCGTTCCTGGCCACGATGGACAAGTGTAAGGGAGTCCTGCAGGGTGAAGGAGGAGAGGTGTCAGTCAGGATGGCCCTGAATGCACACAGAAGCCGCAGCAGGAGGCGACCAGAATCACCAACCACAAGAACGTCCACATTTCTCCACAGGGCTTTTTCTACACTGGCAAACAGTGTCCCAAAACCATGACCAAGTAGCAAAGAATGAAAATGGGTTTGCTTATATGTTACCCTTTACTATTCAGAGCCAAAAGGATAAGAATAAAGGAAGAGATATAGTCTCCAATTAAATCCTGACCCTTACTGATTGTGCATATATTCATGTTTTTAAAACATCAGTTTCACCCTGGCTGGGTGGCTCAGTTGCTTGGAGTGTCGTCCCATACACCAGAAGGTTGCAGGTTTAATTCCTGGTTAGGGCACATACCTAGATTTCAGGTTCGGTGCCCAGTTGGAGCGTGTACAGGAGGCAACTGATCCATGTTTCTCACATTGATGTTTCTCTCCATTCCCCCCACCCCACCCTAGCTTCCTCTCTCTAAAAACAATAAACATATCCTTGAGTGAGGATTAAAAACAACAACAAAAAAACCAGCAGTTTTTATCATTCCATAATTTTCTGTTGTACTCAAAAACATTCAGAGTGGCAACAGGGAGGAACTAATTAAAGTGTCAGTTAACCACACCTCACTGTTTTATTTAGCCCTCGAGTGCCCCAAAGGAGACGGCACTGCAGCGCACAGGGCCTCCCCGACGGCCTCTATCTCAGAGCTACAGGCTGCCAGAGCTTACTGCAGCTGGCAGGGGTGGGGACAAAGAATCAACAGAAGAAAAAAAAGAATGCAATTATGTTTGGATAATAACATAATTATCACATGATATTGAGAGTTCATGGAGATCCACCTTATTTAAGTATTTTGTCCATCACACAAATCTCTTTCCCTATTCTGACTTCACACAACTTTTATTTTTTTGAGAGGGTTTTCAAAGATATAAAATCCTGAGTTGCTATGATGAAAAGTGGTGATTTAGATGGCTTCACTCCCTTTCACCCCCCCGCCCCACATGGCTGTCCCAAAGACAGGCAGCCCTTTCTTGGATTCTAAACCACAAGGAACCGTCAAGTAAATAGTTCTGGGAAGGGGCAAATGGTATACAACTGCTACTGTCAAATTTGCAAAGGGCTGTGCTGAGGAAGAAGTGGCAAGCTGTGCAGATAGTTGTCTAAATGGAAGTATTTGCAAGAAGGTAGAACTGGGTTTAATATACAGAATTTCCCAGCAATTACACCTCACAGAAATAAAACAGACGGCCTTGAGATGGTGTGCTCCACTTCTTCAATTTACCCAAGCAACTCTAACAAAGAGGCTAGAAGAAGGCTCCGTTGGAGCAGTTGAACCAGATGACCACTCTGATGATGACAGAAATTGCTTAAAAATCCAAAGACCTCAGTTATCTAGAATGGAAATGGTTTCCCCAAATGCCTCAGGCCTTAGTCATGTCTCTCATTTGTGCAACAAATGAGTGTTTGTGACTTGAATAAAAATCAGATTGAATAATGCCAACCAAAGAACATCAAGTCCCTGTCTGCCAGTTACATGCCACTGGGAATGGTGCTAAGAACAGTCTGTTTGCTCGCCCACTTACCTGCCCTTGCTGTCCTGCATGTTGGGATTGGCACCAGCCTGCAGAAGGGCTTCTGCAATCTGTGCCATTGCAGACATCACATCTGCTGAATGTTTCTTTGAATTGTATAATGCCACCAGGTGCAACGGTGTCTCCTGGGCACTCAATGTAGCAGCACTGACGTGGGCCCCATTTTTAATGAGGAAAGTGGAAGCAAAGACATCTCCTTGAAAAGAAATAACAGAAATAGTGGTTACATATGACAAAACCCAGGGCAAATTATTCTGGCCAATGTTGCCTCAGAAAGGCATCATTCAGCAACTGCAGACAAAGAGAAACAATTGGGTGTGTCTGAGCGGCACCTCTCTGGACACCTGTAGGAGGGAACTCATCATTGAGACCACAGAGTTACACTTGAATTCAAAAGACTTTGTTCAATTTCTGATTACCTGTTATCTGTCCTGCCCCTCACCACATACCACTTCACTATCCTATATAATAAAAGGTGAATATGCAAATTGACCAAACAGCGGAACGACCGGTCACTATGATGCGCACTGACCACCAGAGGGAAGGTGCTCAAAGCAGGAGCTGCCTCCTGGTGGTCAGTGTGCTCCCACAGCAGGAGCACCGCTCAGCCAGAAGCCAGGATCACAGCTGGCAAGCACAGCAGCAGCGGTGGCGGAAGCCTCTCCTGCCTCTGTGGCAGCGCTAAGGCTCCCTCAGCGGACATCCCCTGAGGGGCCCTGAACTGTGAGAGAGTGCAGGCCAGGCTGAGGCCCCCCCCCTCCCCCAACGGCCCACAGTGCATGAATGTCATGCACCGGGCCTCTAGTTTAAGTATACCAGACTCCTATCCTTCAAAAGCCTCTTGTGATCATCAACTTTCAGAAAGGGTTCCAAGATTTCTCCCCAATACAATTTATCTCCCTCTTTCATTTCCTCATCAGTCTATACCTAAGTAACACATACCCTCAACCTGCTGTACTTGCATACCAGTTCCTCTTCAGAGTAAGACCACATCTGATTGATTATTGCCCAAAGATTCTTTTCCTTTTCTCAATCTAATTACATACAAACAGTCTTAACAAAAAGTTTACAACTGAAAATTTGAAGAAAGAATCTGTACACATTGCTAATTACAAAAAATTTTTACATGGTAAATTAACTGGATGTAAAAATGAAATTTCTAAATTCCTTCCACAGCCTTAACTCTTGGAGCATTACAGGTAGAAAGGCTAAGTAGGACTATTCACACATATCAAACTGAAACTGAGTAACGTACATAAAACCCAGTAATTTCAACAGCTCAAACCACCATTTTTGTCTATTTAGTGTTCCGTGTGAGGGAAAAGAGCTACCTTGACAGACAATCTTGACAAAAGGCCAAAAATTACATTTCGTGAAAATATTAAAGGTATACATTTCTGGAACTATTGTGTTATATACCAGCAAGAAAAAGCTGACTCTAGATTGGTTCTGTGAATACATGGTTAAGTTCAGAACCAAGCAATCTGACCAGTGGCAATTTAATATTAAAAATACTGTGGAAAACCAGTTAGACTATCTTGTCAAGTTAACTTGGAAGGTGGTAGGAATTAAGCAATTAAGTTCGTTACAAAATTAAAGTTCAATCTTCCTTAGATTGAATTCCATTTATAATTCAAAACATGCATAAATCACTACACATAAAATTAATGTTTCTTAATGAAAATAAGACAAGAATGGCAATGCATCATAAGATAATAAACTATTAACAGAGAAACCATCCTATATAATAAAGAGGTAATATGCAAATTGACCATCACACCCTCACAAGATGGCTGCCTATGACCAGGCTGGCAGGGGGGTTAGTGAGGAACAACCAAATGACTGAACAGAAGGCTGTGTGGGGCGACCAGGCCAGTGGGGGCCTGTGAGAGGCAACCAGGCCAGTGGGGGGGGAGGCAGTTGGGGGCGACCAGGCTGGTGGGGGTGGGAGGGGGGAGTTAGGGGTGACCAGACCAGCAGAGGGGGGCAGTTGGGGGCAACCAGGCTGGCAGGGGGGGGCAGTAAGGGGTGACCAGGCCGGCAGGGGGGCAGTTGGGGACGACCTGGCCAGCAGCAGGGGGCGGTTATGGGCGACCAGGCCGGCACACAGAGGCAGTGAGGGGTGATCAGGCCGGGGGGCGGGGGGGGGGTGCAGTTAGGGGCAACCAGACAGGCAGCAGGTGAGCGATTAGGAGCAAGTGGTCCAGGATTATGAGAGGGATGTCCGACTAAACCGGCAGTCAGACATCCCCCGAGGGGCCCCGGACTGGAGAGGGTGCAGGCTGGGCTGAAGGAACCCCTCCCTCCCATGCAAGATTTTTGTGCACGGGGCCTCTAGTCCAGTTATAAATGCACAATGCATGCTATGAGACATTCCAGCTGGGTGGAGGCAACTGTTTTTTCAGTGGCCTCCACGCAGCCTGATTAGCTCATAGCTGGGAAGTCTTTCAAATCAAACTCATCCTCCCCTTGACAGTCCAGAGTACATAGCTAAGTCATCCCAAGAGCTCATGGGATTCAGAGGTACTGACTGTAGAGTCTGTCCCCATTTCACCAAGGTTTAGACAGGACTAATTTCTTGCAAATCACATCCCTCTTTAACTGGGAAATCCCAAAACTGCACAGCAACCTCTCAGGTTGACCTGCTGGTCCCATGATTGCTGATTATACTTCTTAACTTTGCTGGAGGTCCTGGGATGAATGCCACGTTGTGAAAGGTGCCTTGGAACTTGTTCAATATACCAATCATAAGCAATGGTTCTCTTTCCATAGTTGATCTGTTTTGTCTTTGCATCTGGACACTTTTATCTGTTTCTAATTCTGTCCATATTATAAATGCACACTCCTCCGAATCACAACTTCCAGATGATGATTTTCTCTTAAAGTCACTAACGAGAGGTTTTCTTTTACATCTTACAATACCATTCCATCTTCTTCAACTATACTTATGCAGTCTAAACATCTAGAATGGGGCTTAGGATTTCAGGAGTGGCAAAGCTCTCAAGTCTGTTATCTATATTCCTGTGCTCATTTCCATCTGAATATATGAGTTTCATCTGCTCTTCAGTGAACATGAAATTTCAAAATCATTTGGTTTTCAACACTCCCAGGTACTTTCCTCCAAGGGACCATCTTGCTGGAGAGGGTGAGCTCTTGTACTGAGGTGGCTAGGCTACCACAGACCCCTCAGATGCTGACAGAGCATCGGCCTGCAGACTAAAGGGTCCCAGGTTCAATTCCGGTCAAGGGCACATACCTCAGTTGGAGGCTCAATCCCTGGCCCTGGTCGGGGCTCATGTGGGAAACAACCCATGAATATGTCTGTCTCTGTGTCTTCCCCTCCCTCCTACTTTCTTTCAAAAATAATGGAAAAGTATTCTCAGGTGAGGATTAACAAGAAAACAAAACTAAACAAAAAGAACAGAACAATGGGAGGGAATAGAAAACACCAAAAACATTGTTTATAAAGTTCCTGTCAATAAGAAAACCTCTAATACAGTGTAAAAAGATTTCCATCAAAACCATTTCAAATAAAAACTGTTTAGTGCCTAAAAGTTTCAGTTACTTCATCACCTCATCTACAACACTGTCTGGTACATGAGATGTTATAATGAATTGAACACATAAAAAAAGTCCTAACA